CCAGAATGTAAAGGCCATCATGTCAGATCAATATGTGTGTATGGTGCTGGAGACCTGCAGTGGTTGATTGAACAGCATCACCTTTTTGCCAATAAGTTTGATGCAGACAGAGATCCCATTGCTGTCTACTGCTTGGAGAAATATCTGAGACACAAGGCACTGACTGAGTTAGTTTAGGTGAAGTGTTTATTATCTATTATAAATTAATATTAAAAAACTATAAACCCAACCTAACTATAAACATATTCTTTCAATGTTCATTTTAAATTAACATGCCATTATGTATATTTATATATAAGCAGACTATCATTGCCATTTTACCATGGCATGTGAGAGGTTCATAATCCCAAAAAACTAATTTAAGCATTCCACCTGAGAAAATATTTTAATCCATTTAGTTTATTAGTGCTATTCAAAATTATTTTGGTTTTGGCTGTGATTATAGTTAAGGAAAAAAACTTGCAAGAAAGTTGATTGCAGTCTATGTAGAAAAAAAGGCTGGGTGAATTATTTAATTTCCAGAAAAACTACAGCCTTAAACATAAGTCAAACTCACCACAGTACATGTGACCAAAAATACTCTGAACTATGTGCCTCTGTAGCTTGCATAGGTACAAACAGAAAATATGTACAGTATCGAGATATTCTGTTCAATTACATTCAGTTTTATTTACATAGCATTACCGCAACAGTTGCAATATTAGAAAGACAACCCCCTATGAGCAAGCACTGGCAACACCAGGAAGGAAAAACTCCTTTTTAACAGGAAGAAATAGAAAGATAAGATAAGATAAGATAAGATAACCTTTATTAGTCCGACACGTGGGAAATTTGTTTTGTCACAGAAACAGGCTTAGGGAGGCCTAGCCATCTTCTGTGTTCTGTTAGCACATTCTTTTGTTTGTGTGTGTGTGCGTGTGTGTCACAGTAATTTCAAAGTAAAGGCATGAAACATTTTAGAATTCATTTTAAAATCTTTGTACTGACCTTTAAAGCTCTGAATCGTGATGCTCCTGCCTACATTTCTGATCTTTTAGAACAGCAGCTTATGAACACTGGGCTGATGGTGACTTTTAATTCTTCTTTTAATTCAATGAATTCAAGTTCAATAATAATAAATTCAATAAATGTGAAACATTTATTAAATTATTTATTTATAAATTTATTTCCAATTCTAATTAATTCGTGTCACATCCAACTAATTACTTAATGATGTATTTTAGTTTAATCATTTTGAGCCTAGTCATCATATGCACCTATGCCTAAATGATACCCATGGATCAGGTGTTGTTGTACCCATTTATTTGACACACAACAAACACTTCACCATGCAATGAAAAAAAATAACACACACACAAAAAAACAAAAAACAAAACCCACCTGTCTTGTGGGTATTATGTTTAATACTGTATTGGAAATGATCAACTCAAAGTGTCCTTTGCCATCCTCATTTATATTTCTGCCACTCCTGAGTTCCTCCTGCAGTACCACAGTTCCTCTCTTGGCACCATATGCTTTCTTTCGATCAACACAGACAGTGCCATTCCTTCCGACCTTCTATGTACTTCACCACAACAACTTTATCCCTCTGTATTTACTACAGCTGTTCAGATGATCCTGGTTCTTGAAAATCACTGCCAGCATACTTTCTCTCTATTTCTCAGGCATCTTCTGATATTCTGGTTTAAAAGTCCACTGTCCTCTCGGCAAGGTTATTAAAGTTAAATGACATTTAATTCAATTTTAGCGAAAGGATTTAAATAGGATTTATGCGGATTTATGGTTACAAAAGACTGGACTGGAAACCGATGGTTTGCTGGACCTGTGCACTAGTTTAAGCAGGAAAAGCCTGCTCTGTAATTAGGAGATGACCACGTGGAAGAAATTACTCAAGACCTGGACATGAAGAGCTTGAGACTTGTATTCCCAGGATTTGGAGTGAAAACTCACTTCCTAATAACACAAGGTGTATCAAGGTGGGTGCAAAGCCTTTCTTTGGAAGATGCAAGACTGATATGTGATTGACTGCATGTTCTTCTGACTGACTGCCTTTTCTTGTTTGTAACAAGGCTAATAAATCTGACTGTGGTGGTCTTGGGCCCTGGATTGCAGGCCAGAACTACGACTTCAGCCCACCAGTCTGCTTCAAAAGAAAAATAAATCCTGTGTATCCTACTTTCACTGAGAGTGGTGGTTTTCTACTGGTAACTATTAGGACTCATTTATTACTTGTACTGAGACCATTTTGTTGCCCACTTCTAAACATTACCTGTGCTGATTTCCAAAGTCTTGCCTCTGACATGTTTCCTTCATACAATAATAATAAAAACAAACAAACGCTGAAACTAATAAACTAACCATAGCAAGAAAATTGATTCCAGAAACCAACTGATGATGATTGTCCATTTGAAGCTGAAGAGTCGCGTGATCAGTGACCACTGAAGCTTCATTCGGTGGTCACTGATCACGCGGTTTAAAAGGAAGTGAATGATAGGTGGGATTTATGCTAATTTATGGGGAACCAGTGTTCAACATAATGGAAGACATGGAGCCAGCAAGAAAGAGAAGATGTTCTGGCTCTTCCTAAATAAACAGTCCATAAGCAATTCTACCCCCAGATCTAAAACACACATTAAAAATACACTATAGATATTAAAATGAGTTATAATATGGTAATATATATAGTAGTAATATATTGCTATATAATAATATAATAATATATTATAACACTAACTGTTCCAACATTCATCCTCCCCTGTCTCTTCCAGCTCTTCAGTGTCTTTCCCAAGCACGTTATTTATTAAATCACCAAACATTAGCTACTGTTATTTTCGGTTTGTATTGAAAGCTTTTACTTGTCTCATTTCTTAAGTACTTTCCCTCTGACAATATTCATATGTGAACAGCCACAAGTTTAGTTGTTTTAAAATTCAAACCAATCATTTTAGAGGTCTGGGAGTTTTGTCACCATTCTTTGCTGAATGAAACAAACCACAAGAGGGTGACTCAGGACCTATCCTTTAACAAACCAGGGCCCTTGTAGAACAGTTTTGTAATCTGCAATTTAAAATGTAAACAGTATGATGTCTGGTATTTATTACAAAGTAATTTTTTTTAAAGATTAGATTAAACATTTTAATATGAAAATACATTCAAATTGCAAAATACACACAATGTATAGATCATAGAAAAACATATATTAAGGATCTACAATTTCACAACCCTCCCCCCAGCAATAGCAATGAAAATATTAGTAGTACTCTGTAAACTTTGCTGACATAAAGTGGAAAACTTGGTAACATAACATAATGTTTGGTTGTTGTTAACTGATTTTCTATACACTGATACGAAAAACCAGTTCAGCCAGTTTTACATTGTTAAGAGATTCCCCTTATCTACTGTATAGCGCTGCTTTACATGTACATTACATAAATTCAAATGAATACTATTTTTATTAACAGGAAGATAACATGCTCTTTGATGGACTCATCTACCTCCTTCTCTATATAACAGACAAGCTCCCGCCCTGTTGTGACTCCAAGTTGAAGAAGCAGTTAAAAATGGAGTGGATGGATTGATGGATGGATGGATCAAAAATAAAGGTATAAAATATTTAAGTTTATAATAGAAACAGGTTAGAGTCATACAATCCTTTTGTCCTGTTTTCAGATGTATTTACTGTGCGATGACAGTGGCATTTCTTTATGGTGGAGAGAGGAAACCTCTGGCGCTAAAGCGTATCTTTTCAGAATAAAAGCATGTCATTTCAATTAATAGTTGTATACTTATTCCTGCATGCTAGATAAGTTTCACTCTTGGAGTCAAGTCTGCATGGCAATAATACTGCAGCTGCCCATTCTATAGAAAAAATATTTCTGTTTGCTATAAGCAAACACCTAACACTAACCCTATGTGGTTATTTAACACACTTTTTTGATAGCTACAGAACCTGAAGTGTGGAAAAGGTTTGTCTGTTTAAAACATTTTTACTCTGAAAAAGGCTGACAGGAAGTCTTCAGTTGGCAGGTGTCTCACCTGTAGGCTCCTTTTAGACCTGAAGAACAAAAAGGTGCCAGGCACGCTTGACACATGGGAAAACTTAGAAGGAGTGCTAGAGCAAACTATAAATATAACATAAAAAGGATTGTCTGTGACAAGAAAAATCCCAGGTAGGAAGTATTCCCCATTTTCCTTTTCCTTTTGTATGTTGCCTAAAACTATTGAATTTAAAGTTTAATGTTAGTTGTTGTTCTAAATCCAAGATTTTTCAGTATTGCTCCAGATTAAATTAAATACACTTTTATCAAACTTTTAAAATGGAAATGTTGAATATCAGCTCACAGATTTAGTTTTGAAAATAAACTAAAAGAAGAATTTACATTTAAGTCAACTCAAGGTTAACTTATAGGACATTTTAAACAACTTTAAACAGCCTTAGTTAAACGAAGTGCTTGTACAGGATGTACAAAAATAAACTATACATAACATTAACTAAATCTTCTGCTTTGCAAACCTAAGTGCTCTGACAGGAGTCCAGAGTTTTTGATACTCTTTAAAACAAGTAAAAACATTTTCTAATGTAATCACACCATTTCTTTCCTGTGAAGAGGAGAGCTGCTGCTGATGGCTGATTAGTTCAGATTTAGCCAGTTTACCTCTAATTATGATTGTATATCTCTAAGAAAGTTCACCAGTGCCTGAATAGAAGCATAGGTGTTGATTTGCATAGGTAAATATATCAGTAGTCATCTGCACAGCAATGAAAGCAGATATTATGCCTTTCAGAAACTGACCCCGAGGGAAGCATATAAAAAGAAGCGAATGGGGGAAAAGCTTAGTTTTACAGGCCTATACTAGAAGAAGAAAGAAGAGAAAAGAAAGAAGAAATTATGAACACTTTTATCTACAAATAGTAGAAAACATTTAAAAAACCAAAATGTTTATCTGAAATAGATTACGTGGCATATCTTTTTCCTCTGAGTCATTTCTGGTTGCAGAAATGTTAGTAAAATAGTGAATAGAATGTAGTTGCACAACAAAGTTTAGCATTTTTGCTATTTTGTGTTACAAAATTCAAAAAGGATATGTTAGGTGAAAATAAAACATACAGTTCTATTTAATACTTCACAAATGCTCGAAAAAGGGAAAGAAAGCTGCTCACTGACTTTCTGTAGGAAAAACATCTTAGAGCTCATATTTTGCTCCCACACAAAACACAAACAACTTTTAAAAAGCTAAAATACATTTTTTTTTATTGTTGTAAGTTGAAGTGTATTTCATTTGGATGTTATCTATCTTAATTTCATCTCTTCGTTCCAGGTTGTCATAATGGATGGACTGATCTGCCCCTTATCATAAATTCATGAAAGGAACTTATCAACATATTAGCAAACATTAATCATTATATTTATTTTATGATTTCATAATGTCTGTCTGACATTTTTTGCAGCTCTCACACACTTTAATATTGTTGTATTTCAGATTCTCCTCTTATTGTAAATAATGTGGTTTCTAAAACGAGGCTGGTGGCTACAATTATTACAGTTCATCGCTGTACTGGGATCACTATGGACGCTTTCCCTACTTATTCCACTGAAAAGAGGTAGACGTCCTGCCTACATCCTCAGGTATCAATGGCTAGAGTACACCAATATTGATGAGAGCCCAGAGAAAGTTTGCAACTGCTCAGCGATCCTGCAGGGAGAGAAGGAGGCATTGCTGAAAGCAAAATTACTGACCATCACCAAAGACTTCCAGAAGATTATTCAGATCCCTGATGAGTATTATATTAACGCAACCCAAAACTGCAGGTTTGTTGCTCTAAATGGGAGCTTTCTGTAACTCTTTAACTCTTAGTCATGATTTAAATACATGGCCTTCCAAAACAACATTACTTCTTCAAAACTGTGAATTTACAGGAAATTCCAAACAAGCAGGAAATACATAACATTCCCATTAAGCAAGGAAGAAGAGGAGTTTCCGCTAGCTTACTCAATGGTTGTACATCACAAGGTATGTTTTTTCTCTAATTTTGAAGTGGTCAAATTGGGAATTGATAAAATTCATAATGCTTAACATCTTTATTAGATTACAATATATATATTATTATATATATATATAGTATATATTATATATATATAATATATATATATACTATATATATATATATATATATATATATATATATAATTATATATTATATATTATATATATATGTATATATGCAACTTGAATAACAGATTCACCCAATCGGATTAAACTGTTTATTTTTCACACTGGTGATCTTGGTGTTTTATAATTTCATATTATAATGGATATGTCACATTTCTGCTTTAGTTTTGATCATTCATTAAATAACCGTTAAAGTGCTCAATAAACCAACCAGGCAAAAACATTTCTCAAAGAGAACTAAAGTGTTTTATCTTTAGGTGCAGAACTTTGAGCGACTACTGCGAGCTATCTACGCACCTCAAAATATTTATTGTGTCCATGTGGACAAAAAAGCACCGGCCTCAGTCTTTATTGCCATCAATGCCATTACTTCCTGTTTCCCAAATGTGTTCATGGTCAGCAAGACTGTGGATGTGGTCTACGCTGGATGGACACGTGTACAGGCTGATCTTAACTGCATGGCTGATCTCTATAACACCAGTACAAACTGGAAATACTTCATCAACCTCTGTGGTCAGGATTTCCCTCTAAAAACTAACTTGGAAATTGTGCAAGCTTTGCGTTCACTGAAAGGAGGTAACAGTTTGGAGTCGGAAGAAATGCCTCAAGGAAAGAAGAGGAGGGTGATGAATGTTTACCAAGTAGTTGATGGACAAATCCAGGTACTTCTTTTGGATATTTTTTATAATGTATGATGTAGCTATTATCAATTCTCTTTGCTATTCTAAAAACCTTCAACTCAGACTGACTCCCCATCATGTTAACTTTTCAATTGTCCCAGCCAATAGGAAAAACAAAGGATCCAGCTCCCTTCAATCTCCCTATACTATCAGGAAATGCCTACATTGTGGTCAACCGAGGTTATATTCGCAGTGTGTTGGAAGACAAGCGAATACAGGCCCTCATTGAGTGGGCCAAAGACACCTACAGTCCTGATGAGTTTCTGTGGGCAACAATACAACGAATGCCTGGTGTTCCAGGCTCAACATGGCCCAACCGTAAATTTGACATGACAGACATTAATGCAATTGCACGGATGGTGAAGTGGCAGTGGCACGAGGGGTCAGAGGATTCTCTGCAAGCAGTATACCCAGAATGTAAAGGCCACCATGTCAGATCAATATGTGTGTATGGTGCTGGAGACCTGCAGTGGTTGATTGAACAGCATCACCTTTTTGCCAATAAGTTTGATGCAGACAGAGATCCCATTGCTATCTACTGCTTGGAGAAATATCTGAGACACAAGGCACTGACTGAGTTAGTTTAGGTGAAGTGTTAATTATCTATTATAAATGACAATTCTATTAGATACTAAAACTATGAACACATTCTCGGATAGCATTGGATCATAATTGTCATGTGGAGATAGATGTGTTATGAAAGTTGAGGATGTACGTAAAATATTAATTTCATTATAGGTTTTTTTTAAAACTCTGCACGTCTTTTAATGTTTATTAAAAATTTAATTACAATTAACTATATTTATATTTCAGCAGACAAACGTTACTAATCTAGCATGGCGTGTGAAAGTTTCATAACCCAATGGAAAAACTCCTTGTGGCTTGCATAGATACAAATACGAAATATTATTAGTTTCGAAATATTCTGTAAATTCAATTTTATTTACATGACCTTAAATCACAATAACGGTTGCCAATATTATAGAAACAACCCCAACAATCAGATGACAGCCTAAGAGTGAGCTCATGGCAACATTTTTAACAGGAAGAAACAGCCTTAGGAAGGGGTGGCCAACAGCTACGTCTGATTAGGGTGTGAAAGGAAGGAGACAGAGACAGAGATTGAGAATGAATACCATGTATGCCATAAAGAAAGATGTACAAATAAATAAAAGTGATATGATCTAACCTAACTCTCTAAATAATAGACACAGTAAGAATAACTGTCTTGCATTCATGCATGCATACACACACACACACACACACACGCACGCACATATGTTCAGTACTAGCACACTTCCCTGATTTTGGGTGTGCGTGTCAGAGTAATTTCAAACTAAAAGCATTACAAACAACTTCTGTTACAGAACAATACAACTCTGCTACTTTATTCTTACAGTGACATAAGGGGTGACAACACTGTAAACACTTAATATAAATATTGACTGAGGGTTAGGGAGTGCAACATAATGTGAAACATTGCTGTATATGAGTGACCCACACCTTCATAATTTCAGCTGGTGTCGTCAAAGTATTTGGATGTTCAAACACAAATGTAAGACAGAACACAAGAATTAATATAACAAAAAACATCACCAAATAACATACTGAATTTATTTTGTTTTTTAATTTCTGTATTACATGTATAAAGACAAATACTTCATCTATATTGAATTTTAATTAGTAAGTGGCATCAGGCAGATTGCTGACATAATTTAATTTAAAAATTATTCAATAAATTTCTTTAAACTAAATTACATCTCCTGTAACCTTACTGTGCCTTCTGCTCATTTTTGTTGTTTTTTAGATGGGATGGTGGTACTACTCAAGAGCATCACTGTGGCTTTTGAAAATGCGCTATTATAATAACCCAGAGTTAATTATCAATACATATTTGTTGTTAACACATGTTTGGTACAAGCCAATAACAAGACAATCTGAGCTGCATGGTTGAAATAAAAGATGAAGTAAAAGAAAACAAACGTGGAACATAATCAAGTGCTGAGAGTACTGTATTACAGTATAAAGCGTTTTCCTTCAGCACACCACAGTCTCTGCAACACAACCATAGTATTACTGTATATTCAACACGCTCAGATCTGAATTGGATTTTTCTATTTTTTTCTCTTCAGGGAGAAAAGAAGAAAGGCAGCAGCCAAATAACTTACAACACAGCTGAGGTCCCCTTGTGAGAGGGAAATAAAGAAGGAAAAGAAATGAATGAGACTTATTCACAGTAAAACATTGTCGCATGGGTGTGACTTATTTACAGACTGTTTGACTTAAACTGATTTTCACCATGTCAAAGAAATATTTGGTGAATGAGATGTCAAATTCAAAACTTTGAAAAAAGTACGTTTTATATAGCAGGTCAGCAATAAATATGACATTTAATCAAAATACAGAAGGCTAATCTGTTGTGTTTGGATGTTGTATAGTCTGGAAAGGTTATGTAAAGCTGTTTAACATTACCATTAAATATCTTGGGTTCTACTATTACATCATCATCATCATCATCATTACAGATGAACTACTTCTCATGTTGGCATCCTGTTTGACTGGAACAAACACATTTTCTTTTTCCTCCTCCTCCTCCTTCTTCTTCTTCTTCTTCTTCTTCTTCTTCTTCTTCTTCTTCTAATGTGGACAAACATTTCCTGGTTTGAAATGGGAGCAGCTTTACTCTATTAAATGGAAGCAGTGGAATACTTACATATCACTTACTTTGGTGCTCTTTCCTGCAATTCTGTGTGGAGAGCAAAAGTAAGTGAGGCACTATACTGTCAGTAGATGTGGGAAAAAAACAGGATTAATTGACAAAAAGAAAAACAAGGTGAGAATTCAAGATCAAAGCAAGGTACTGCAGTACATGGGGTGTAACAGTTTTTCTAAAATGAGTCAATATTTGACACTTAAACAAGAGAATAGATAAGAAGTGGTGTTATGCGGTCTTTTACAGAAAGGCAAGCAGAGACGACAATATGCACACTAACAAACACTCCTTCATCCTTCATTTCCCTGTTTAACAAGATAACATTTTTAAAACAAGCCATTTTTGCTGTCTGTCTGTACTCTACGTGGACGTCTTTACTTTCCTGCACTCCTTCCTGCATGAAGAATGCTACAATAATATTACTACACCTCACCACACATAAAATTTTCAATTTAATTGCACATAAAATTTAGTGGCTGTCCTGTGAGGACCATATATCTATTGAAAAATTGTTGTTCATCAGCTCAGAAACACAGGCCTACATCTTGATTTTCAAAGAACATTAAAATATATGAAACCTTTTTTAAATCAGCTAAATCATCAAGTCCATTTGTTCACTTTATTAGTTTCGTTTGCAGTTATTTCATTAATATAATTCATTAATCATTTTATTTAAACCTAACATTGATATTATGAGGCGCACACATAATAGCATTGTGTGGTTTTTCTAAAAATGTTTTCTGTTATATTAATTATGTTTCTCTTTCTCTGAGTTACCTGGTTTGGGACGGTGGCTGTTTCCTGTCTAGGGCAAAAGGCGTGGCTGAGGATGAGAACAAAATGCCTGCTCAGCAGGACCGACCATGTTCTATCGGAAACAGGGTTTTTTTTTAGGTTTACTTATGTTGTTCTGTGCTTAGTATTAGTTTGTGTTTTTGTTTCCCCCTTTTGTGTGTAAATGGTTTGGCCAAACCACTATAAACCTACCCTCCTGTGTCTTTGTAATTAGTTTAGTTTGTGAGTTAAGTTGTCTCCACTTTGTTTGTTTAAGTTTCTGGAAGTTACTTTTTGTAGAGTTATATTTAGTTGACCTCTTTTATGGGCCCGCTAATTATGTTTTTGAATTTTGCCTTTTGAACTTTTTTAAGGGTTAAAATAAAGAAAACCAATTTTGAAGATATTTTTTCCTGTACCTTCTATGCCTTGGCTGCTTGGTCCTCACGGTGACATGTTATAAAAATATTAATAAGAACAAATGTGGAGTTTGGCAAAACAATTAATTTAACTTCTTACGTTCAGATATCCTCTTAGATGTTAATCCTAAAGTGCTCCTGAGCCTGCACCTCTTCAACTTGCCTGTTTTATTAGACCGGGCATATTCACAGCTGACGTCCTCTCTCCATCATTGTCAATGTTTGTTGTGCTGATAACTAAAGAAGTTATTGACAACTTTTTCAAGCTACATCTTCTTTGCATGATACTGGCCAAATATCGATAGCATCGATACCAACACTATTATCAGTATCTAACTGACACTAACGCAATTGTATTGATACTTTGTTTCTGTTCTCAAATTCTAGTATGTATCCAATTGAACTGTGTTAAATACATTTTATTATAATTTTTATTTAAAAAATACACCTCAAATTTGCACATTGAAAATTTTCTGAACCTTTTTCTGTTGACTGTCACGTTGATTCATTATAACCTATAGCACTTTTAAATGGTAAATGGAAGGTTCTTATATAGCGCTTTTCTACTCTGAGCATTCAAAGCGCTTTATACAGCTAATTCTTTCACCCAATCACACCCAATCACTCATTTTTCTAAACTTTTAAGTGCTCCCTATCTAACATTCATACACATTCACACTGGAGGCATTGGAGAGCAACATCGGGTTAGTATTCTTCCAAAGGATATCTGGAATGCAGACTGTAACAGACTGGGATCAAAACTTCCAGTTAGTAGCTGACCTGCTCTACCACCTGAGCTACAGCCACCCCTAAACCTTTAACCGTTTTAAACAACAGATGCTGACAAGTCCTTTAAAGAGAAGCACATTTACATTCCAGGTCTCCAAAAAAAAAATTGTACAATGTAATCACACCACTGTCTTTTGGTGGTCATTAAAATGTGTTCAGAATTTGGCAAATGCAAGATGATTCAGCTCACAAATCACATTGCTCTGCCCAAAATAAGATCCATTATAGGTTAAAAGTATCAGTACATACTGCCCTTAATTTACTTGGTGTTAAAGCCCTGTTGTTTTTTTGTTGTTTTTTTTACAATACAATTGCAACTTGTCAGCACAAGCTTGACTGCTACCACTTGCAGATGTCTCCACACCCATTCAATCCAGGTTCAGTGGTGCTCAGGTGTGATAAGATGGGACAGTTTTTGACCATATTTCGCAAAGCTCTGTCCTCCACTCTACTGTCAGACCTGCGGTTTATCCACAATGCGCATGCAAAAACCACCAGAGAAAAGCTGCTTAAAAGGGAGATGGACACACCCTCAAAACAAATAAGCTCAGTTTTCAGCGACATCCAACTACGACCACATGGCAGCAATGTAAAGGATGGATCCACATGTTAATTGACGGGAGATTTACGATAGCGCTGTCTGAGAAGAAAGGAAAGAGATCGCTTTACTTTAAGGTCAACGGTAAGACAGTCAAATGTCAGTGAAAGGTTAAAAAGCATAAGAAAATTAATGAAGGCTTTTCAGAGAGATTTAGACAAAACCAAAGAGTATTTTCAATATCTAAGGAGAATGAGTGTACAATTTTCAGATACTATTCATCTGTAGATATTTTTATACCTTTTTTAAAGACTCATCATGCCAAGATATGCCTGTGAAATGGTGGGATTGTTGGGATTTTTTTTAAGGTTCAGCTAGAGAAACTGGAGCAAATTATGTGTCACCGTTGAGTCATTGTTAACTGGTTTTCTGTGCATTCACACAAAAGATCCAAACTAGTCCAACTAGTCTAGTGTTACATCATATTTACATTGCATTTTGATGTACTGTGCTCACACACACACACACACGCACACACACACACACACACACACACACACACCACACACAACACACACACACACACACACACACACACACACACACACACACACACATATAATTATCATTGCTGTCACTGTTGAGTCGTCGTTAACTGGTTTTCTGTACATTCATACGAGAAATCATTACTGGTTTTTCTTGCACCAGTCTGCGGATTACGTGTGTGTTCTTTGTTGTCGTTTGTGGTGGGTGTGTTGTGTGGTGCGGTCTGTGTCTGTGTAGTGTGTGTGTGTGTGCGTGTGCGTGTGTGTTGGTGTGTGTGTGTGAAAGGAAGTGGCATGGAGAAGAGAACCATGTGATTGAGCGACGTATCTTTTTTTAAAGTAAGAGCATGTTATTTCTGTCAGGTGCAGTATACTTATTCCTGCTATGTCAGCTAGATAAGTTTTACTCTTGGTGTTAAGGCTGCGGGGAAATAGCACTGTAATTGCCTGAGTACGTTAAATGCATTTCTGTCTGCTATAAGGTCTCTGTGGTATATATTTGTTTAACACATTCTTGTGATGACTACAAATCCTGAAGTACGAAACAAATATGTCTGTTAAAAGAGATACCAGTTTAACTGAAGGACTAAAAAGTTGTCCTGTAGGTTTGATGCATCAGATAACTTAACCCTTGTGTGGTGTTCGTATTTTTGTTACTCAGCCAGTGTTCATGGGTCTGGTGGACCCGCTAGAGTTTTGGCTTTCCAAATTAACACTATCAAACAATTTTATGTTAAATTACTCAACAGATGTTTACTTCATCCCAATTACAAGACATATGAACAGCAAACATGGTTAATTTTTTCCCTTTACCTTTGTTAGATCACATTTATGAATTAATGTGCTTCTCGTTTTTCTTTTATATAAAATGTTATAAATAAATCAGTTATAATCAAGTGGAGTGAGTGGAAAGACACAACACATTTACACGTGAAAAAATAATTAATTGTTTAATTTTTCTTTTGAAAAACACTGAACACGGGTCTCACAGACCCGAACACCATACAAGGGTTAAAAGAAATGCCAGAGCACAAAACATCCCAGACAGGAGATAATCACTTTTACTTTCAATTTCAAAAAAGGTGGTTCCTGTTTTAGATTCCAGATTTTAATATTTTCACAACTGCTTTTAACTTTTATGCTGGTTCTTTGGTGAGATGAAGTTGACTGACTTCCTACCTGTAACTGGGAAACCGTTGACATTTTGTGATCCCAAATTAAAAATTTAGTTAGCCTTTTTTACTTTCATTTGTGATGATGATGGTGAATATTAATATTATCATGATCATTATTATTATGTCTCATGTTATCATTTATATTTATTAAGTGTTTATCAACTTATGACAAACAATGTTAAATAATATCTAGGACCAAGGTCAAACCGAACCTTTGAGATTGTTTTAAAGTTCTTCTTCTCTTTTGTTTCATTTGATCGTTAACTCTAGTTTTCTTGCTTTTTAGCTTGTATTTAAATGGTTATTTGAAATTAAATGAACTACATTAATATATAAGCAGACTACCATTGCTAATCCAGCTTAACATGGTGATAATTTAATAACCTAAAGGTAAAAAATGCAAAAGTTTAGTTTTACAGAGAAATTGATTTTGGAAACAGCAGGCAGGGGAAATTATTCAATTTCCAGCAACTCTATGGCCACAAACATAAAGCGTAACCTACCTTATTACATTAACTTGACCAAATGTTTTCTGAACTCTTTGCTCATGTGGCTTGCATAAATAAAAACAGGAAATGTGTACAGTTTAAAGATATTCTGTTCTACTCAGTTAAATGTTATTTATGTATTTACTGTATATAGCACCAAGCACTTGGATATGGAGGACCACAAGAGTCACACGCATCAAAATACAGAATTGTGTGCTTAAATAATGAATTGAAAGATAAAATACGCAATTTAAATTCATTTATTCAAACATTATTAAAGTAAATTATTATCTGATAATTTAATTTAAATAAAAGCACTACTTAAAAATCAATATTTCAAAATGAATTATTAATCCATTAATAAATAATCAAAAATGAATTTCACAAAAAAAATAATGAAAGTGTCAATAAAAATTTCACAAACATTTTTGAATTCCAAACTAAAAAACTGATTCTATAAATCTTTTTTAAAACACAAAAAAAGAGAAATAAGTAAGTAGATTCAAAAACCAAAGATTTATTTTTGACATTGTTAGGAATAAAATGATTAAACAAAGCTGTTTTTTAAATGATTTTTTGCATACACATTGCTATGTGCTCATGAAAGAGTTGGCACTCCATGCAATAGGGGTCAAAAACTTTGATTTTGCACTACGACTGAATTGAATTATCGTGATTGACATGTAGAAGTGCAGAAGGTTTTGTAAACATGCTAACATATCATAACTGGTTAAAATCAGGATGATATTTTCTGGGCCAAGGGAGTCCAAACAGAATGTCCCAAACTTGGAAAATAAGTAGAAAATAGCAGGCTTAGAATTGCTAGATAATATTAATAATCAAGGCTAGGTGAGGGAGGTGTTTTATCCTGGAGGAGACGATCTGGGAGACGCCAGGACCGTCACATCACTCCTCAGAAGAAAGATAGAAAGTCATAACAACACTTGTTTTTGTCAGAGTATGTATCACCCACTCTGAGAAGCATCCTTTTTGCGAAGCAGATTGCTGATTTCACATCGCGGTCCAGCGCTTTAACTTGTACTTTCAACTGCTGAAGCAAATTAAATCTTTTAAACAACAGACGTTCTCCTGTACTTCCTTAAGAAAAAAATTCCACTCCTTATATGAAAATCCATTTCCTTTTCCTGTTAGCTCACGGATTAGCTATTATATTAACAAATTATTCGTTTTTTGGATTAACTGGGATAGCTAACGCATTAACTATTGGATTAGCTATCTCATTTCCAAAATCCCCAAAGCAATGCAAATTATCCATGCCGTGCAATTTAAGGATTGGTTGGGCAGACAAAGGCTGGCTGCCTGGATTTTCATATATTGCTGTTTTTGCTCATAGCTTTGCACTGCTAAGAAGTGTGTGTGCTTGCCCAAAGGCCATTCAGCCTCAGGATTTACACTCTGCTCGACATGGATATTGTGAAGAGAAAATTATTAGAAGGCAAAGAAACTCAAACTCAAGATATCTTTTTCATGCATACATGGACGATCCCCCCTCATCGCCCAATCCATCCTGCAGCAACGTGTGCAGGACAGATGTGACACAGAGGAAAGACCGCCCAGGGCTTTCAGAGCTTTCTTTATTTATACTTAAGCAAGTTTTCAAGGAAGTAGGAGTGGTGTGTTCAGAATATAAAACATTTCCATAAAAGGAGAGACTGTTCGCTTGTCAGCTGAAACAGGAGATAACTTGGTATGTATAGAAATTCAGACATTCCCATAAAAGGAGAGAGAGAGAGAGCGCTAGTTTGTCTGTTAAAACAGGAGGAAGGGTTGTATGTCACCGCATTCCTCTACACATATGGCTTCAATCTCTCTTCCTGTGTTGGTTCCAATTCACAAGCTCTTCTTCCTTTAAATGAAGCTACAAATAAACATAACACAAACTAAAAAATCTTATATCAGATATGTAAAGAATGAAGGGACCTTGCAGTGAAATAGAGAGCTGAACCTCTGAGTGTGCGCCTCTGGACTCAGCCTGACCACCTCTTAACAGGTAACCTAAGACCTCTCATCCAAGAAGGTTCTTCAGTTCTGAGAGCCAAGGTGACACAAGGTTAAAGGTCGCCTACAAGTTCTGCAAAGATGAAAGGCACAAGTTGTCAAAGCTCCCAAGCTTCTCAGAAAAGTCACTAGACCACAAATGAACATTTTTGAAGGACAACAAACTGTACTACAGGTGCTTAAAGGTGGGCCACAAGTTTGCCTAAGTTTCCTGTTTTACTTTGAAGTCAGTGTTTCAGGTTATTGTATCATGTTTTAAATTTAAAGTTTTATGTTGGTTCTTGTCTGGAGGTGGACGTGGTGGACATGGTGACCATGCTGGTCTCTCCGGCTCGCTGAGCTCCTGCTCAGGCAGCGCGGACTCCTCCAGCTCACTGAGCTCCTCTGTGGGCGGGGCGGGCTCCTCCGGCTTGCTGAGCTCCTCCGCGGGTGGTGCGAGCTCCTCCAGCTCGCTGAGCTCCTGCTCAGGCAGCGCGGACTCCTCCGGCTCGCGGACGGGCTCCTCCGGCTCGCTGAGGTCCTGCTCGGGTGGCGCGAGCTCCTCCGGCTTGCTGAGCTCCTCCAGCTCAGGCTGAGCAGGTCTGGGTGGCGCCGTAGCCGCAGGTGGTGGAGCAAAGAGTGGTGTGGAGACCTCAGACTGAGGCGATGCCAGCTGCACTAATGGCTGGTTTACAGAAGCGTCTGCGGCATCACCGTCCACTGTAAACAAAGAAACAGATGGTGTGAGAAATGAAAAAGTGTCCCCATTACTCACCACAGCTGGCAGTAGAGCTGTCTGGGGATCCGACTGTGGTGAGAGGCGCTGGCGGCATGAACGTCGTTTCCATGTAGACGACTGGGCCGGTGAGCAGCCTAATTCGGAGAGTGGAGGTGGAGGGTTGAGAGCAGGAAGTCCATGAAGTCCCAACCATGGGTTGAGACAGTCAACCAGCCAGGGAAATTTTAAAAACGTCTCCTGCAGCTGCCTCTCCACGGCGAGACGTGACGCAAGACTTCCCCGGGCTTCTCCCACCACAAATCATATAGTCTGTAAACTTTGTTCATTACCTCCCTCCTGAGCCTCTCCTCAGAGTCCGCAGAGCCCATGTTTGGCTGGATCATTCTGTCACGGTTGACGCTGGCCAACCATGGGGATGTGAGGAAGGAGGACCCAGGTGGGGAGCTCTGAATATCAACAATGCGATTATTTACAGTGAAATGGAAAATAACAATAAATCCTCAGTGCTTTCCCAGATGTATTCATTAAGCACGTGGTCGATTGTGTCCAACTTCCTGATGTACTCATGGATGTTCGTTGTCTCATCCTGGACAGTGATTCTGACTCTCACTAATCCTTGGCCTCCTTCCTTTTCACTTAGGATACAGTTTCAGGGTGCTGGATTTGCATGGTCAGGAGATTCCTTGTCTTGATGTCAATGATCTGTTATCTAATGGGTTATCTGATGTTGATTTCCTGATTCTTCTTCTTTCCATCTAGCTGACTAGGAACTTGCCTCACCCTCTGCAGGTATTTGGAGGCTGTGGCTTACAGAATGTCTTCAGTTTGGTCTTCTGTAACCAGTTTAGCTCAAGGAATAAAACGTGCCCCGAAGATTTGATGTATCAGAAACCTTAAAAGGAATGCCATAGATAACTATGAGAATAGAAAAAAGGATTTGCTCTGCCAATGAAAGATCCCAGGTAGGAAATAATCTCTTTTTCTCTTGATTAAGTTAGGAAAGGTACAAAACAAACTACAGAACTCAGTGGTTGTGCAAAGCAGTTATTACGCAATGTATGCCTGTAGTATAATGAAGTTACATGAATTTTACCTAACAGAATGTTTCATTTAAAAACAACGGCTTTTGCTTTATTTTGCCTAAAACTATTCAATTTAAAGTTTTATGTTGGTACTTGTTCTGAACTTTAGACGTAAGAAGTTTCACAGGCCTATACTTAAATTTCTTTTTGAAATATTCCATATATCATGTTTTTTCACTACTATCCTCATGTCATCTCTTGGTTCCAGGTTCAGTAACAGATGCACTGATCAGCATAACTCCATGAAAGGAAATTGTCTACATATCATAAAACATTAATCATTACTATTTTATAGTGCCAGAGGTTACCATAAAATAAATATAGAACATTTTTAGCAGCTCTCACACACTTTAATATTATTGTACTTGAGATTCTCCCATTACGTAAAAAAAATGTTTCCAAAACGAGGCTGGCAGCTATGGTTATTGCATTTCATTGCTGTACTGGGATCACTATGGATGCTTTCCCTACTTATTCCACTGAAAAGAGGTAGACGTCCTGCCTACATCCTCAGGTATCAATGGCTAGAGTACACCAATATTGATGAGAGCCCAGAGAAAGTTTGCAACTGCTCAGCGATCCTGCAGGGAGAGAAGGAGGCATTGCTGAAAGCAAAATTACTGACCATCACCAAAGACTTTCAGAAAATTATTCAGATCCCTGATGAGTATTATATCAATGCAACCAAAGACTGCAGGTTTGTAGTTTTAAATCACAGGTTTTAGTAATTACTCAACTCTTAATCACGATTTACAGATATGGACTTTAAAACCAACATTGCGTCTTGAAAACTGTGAATTTACAGGAAATTCAAAATAACCAGGAAATACATAACATTCCCGTTAAGCAAGGAAGAACAGGACTTTCTTCTGGCTTACTCTATGGTTGTACATCACAAGGTAAGCATGTTATATAATTTACTGCAACATTTAGCAGTAGGTCTAAATATGTAAAGTTCTAAGTGATTAAATGTACAGTGCATGGTGTACAGTACAGGGAGCATGGTGTGAGCTTGATCTTTTGAAATTTCTTATCACAAAATTACTGTTTTAGGTATGATGGATATCTCACATTGGTACTTTAGTTTTGACCGTTTGTTAAATAACCATGAAAGTGCTCATTTGAACATTTTTTACCAAAAACATTTAGGAAGCCAATTAAATTGTTCTTATCTTTAGGTGCAAAACTTTGAACGACTACTGCGAGCTATCTACGCACCTCAAAATATTTATTGTGTCCATGTGGACAAAAAAGCACCGGCCTCAGTCTTTATTGCCATCAATGCCATTACTTCCTGTTTCCCAAATGTGTTCATGGTCAGCAAGCCTGTGGATGTGGTCTACGCTGGATGGACACGTGTACAGGCTGATCTTAACTGCATGGCTGATCTCTATAACACCAGTACAAACTGGAAATACTTCATCAACCTCTGTGGTCAGGATTTCCCTCTAAAAACTAACTTGGAAATTGTGCAAGCTTTGCGTTCACTGAAAGGAGGTAACAGTTTGGAGTCGGAAGAAATGCCTCAAGGAAAGAAGAGGAGGGTGATGAATGTTTACCAAGTAATTGATGGACAAATCCAGGTACTTCTTTTGGATATTTTTTTCATAATGTATCATGTTGCCATTGATCAATTTACTTTGCTATTGTAAAAAAACATTGTTTCAGACTTACTTACGATCATTTTAATTGTCCCAGCAAACAGGAAAAACAAAGGATCCAACTCCCTTCAATCTCCCTATACTATCAGGAAATGCCTACATTGTGGTCAACCGAGGTTATATTCACAGTGTGTTGGAAGACGAGCGAATACAGGCCCTCATTGAGTGGGCCAAAGACACCTACAGTCCTGATGAGTTTCTGTGGGCAACAATACAACGAATGTCTGGTGTTCCAGGCTCAACATGGCCCAACCGTAAATTTGACATGACAGACATGAATGCAATTGCACGGATGGTGAAGTGGCAGGGGCACGAGGGGTCAGAGGGTTCTCTGCAAGCAGTATACCCAGAATGTAAAGGCCATCATGTCAGATCAATATGCGTGTATGGTGCTGGAGACCTGCAGTGGTTGATTGAACAGCATCACCTTTTTGCCAATAAGTTTGATGCAGACAGAGATCCCATTGCTATCTATTGCTTAGAGAAATATCTGAGACACAAGGCACTGACTGAGTTGGATTAGTTGGAGAGTTAATCATCCACCATGAAAGACAATTCAAATGGATAACCAAAAGTATAAACACATTCTTGGATAGTGTTGGATCATAACTTCATGTGGACCTAGATGTGTTATAAAAGTTGTGGAGTCTGAATTTGTACGACAGTTACTAAATGTAGCAGTGTTGTCACGCCTTTTGATTTAAGTTTTGTGATAGTGCTTTGCTTAGTCAACTGAACTCCCACCTGTAACTGGGAAACCATTTAGTTAGCTTTTTTTAATTTTCATTTGTGACAATGATGATGATGATTATTATTATGTCACATGTTATCATTTGTATTTCTTAAGTGTTTATCAAATTGCAGTTGTGTCAAACAGTGTAAAATAACATCTAGGAGATGGGTCACACCAAGCCTGTAGGGGTTATTCTTTTTTAAAGTTCTTCTTCTTTTTCATTCTATTTTATCATTTACTATCAGTTTTTCGGCAGTTTAAGCTTGTAATTAAATGGCTATTTAAAATTATATTAAGTACATTAATATTTACATAGACTATCATTGCTAATCTAGCATGGCATGTGATAATTTCATAACCCAAGGGTAGAAAATGTAAAACTTTAGTGTTTGGCTGTGTACTATAGAAAATAGATAGAGAACCTACAGGTAAATTGATTGTGGAAACAGCAGTCTGGGAGAATGATTCAATGTCCTGATTCAATGTCCAACAAAATGGCCCCAAACAACCCATGTAGGTCTGGATTTGGAGTCACACTCAAAATTAAGGTGGAAAAACACACTACAGGCTGATCCAACTTTGATGTAATGTCCTTAAAACAAGTCAAAATGAGGCTCAGTAGTGTGAGTGGCCTCCACATGCCTATATGATCACCCTACAACACCTGGGCATGCTCTTGATGAGGTGGCGGATGGTCTCCTGAGGGATCTCCTCCCAGACCTGGGCTAAAACATCCACCAACTCCTGGACAGTCTGTCATGCAATGTGGTATTGGTGGATGGAGCAAGACATGAAGTCCCAGTTGTGCTGAATTGGACTCAGGTTTGGGGAACGGGCAGGCCAATCCATAGCATCAATGCCTTCGTCTTGCAGGAACTGCTGACACACTCCAACCACATGAGGTCTAGCACTGTCTTGCATTAGGAGGAACCCAGGGCCAACTGCACCAGCATATGGTCTCACAAGGGGTCTGAGGAGCTCATCTCGGTACCTAATGGCAGTCAGGCTACCTCTGGCGAGCACATGGAGGGCTGTGCGGCCTCCACCCGAAGAAATGCCACCCCACACCATTACTGACCTACTGCCAAGCCGGTCATGCTGGAGGATGTTGCAGGCATCAGAACATTCTTCAAAGCATCTCCAGACTCTGTCACGTCTGTCACATGTGCTCAGTCTGAACCTGCTTTCATCTATGAAGAGCACAGGGCACCAGTGGCGAATTTGTCAATCTTGGTGTTGTCTGGCAAATACCAAACATCCTGCACAGTGTTGGGCCGTAAGCACAACTCCACCTGTGTATGTTGAGCCGTCATGACACCCTCATGGAGTCTGTTTCTGACTGTTTGGACAGACAAATGCACATCTGTGGCCTGCTGGAGGTCATTTTACAGGGCTCTGGCAGTGCTCCTCTTGTTCCTCCTTGCACAAAGGTGAAGGTAGCGGTCCTACTGCTGTTTTGTTGCCCTCCCCCACGTCTCCTGATGTACTGGCCTGTATCCTTGTAGCGCCTCCATGCTCTGAACACTAGGCTGACAGCAACACGTTCTCACTCCCAAAGCATAACATTTTACGCTAGGTGACAAATCGTCAACATATTACGTTTTCGGCTACCCACCA